AGAACATGTCCAGGAAGGACAGTGTCTCATGGTTCGCGGTGGCGTCGATCAGCTGGTCTATCAGTGGTAGGGGATAGGGATCCCAGGGCAGACCTTGTTTATCGTTGTGTAGTCGACGCACATGCGCCTTGCTCCCGAAGATTTCTTCACTAAAACCACATTCGCCAACCATTTTGGATATTTCACCGGTCGGATTAGCCCTGCCGCGAGTAGCCGTGTCACCTCTTCTTCTATGGCTTTCAACTTGTCGCCCGAGAAGCTTCTCCGTGCCGGTTGCCTCGGTTCTGCATTAGCGGGAACCGCGAGAGAGTGCTGAGCTACATGCCTTGGTACTCCCGGCATGTCTTCCGTGCACCAGGCGAACAGTTCTTTATACTCTTTCAACAGTGCAATCAGCGGTTCAACCATGTCGCCAGAGACATGGGTTGAGACGCGGATCTTCTTCTCGGGTTCGGCTGGGTCGAGCGCAACCTCGAAATCAGAATCCATTGATTCTGGTCGCGGGTCTTCCGCCCGCGTGTCGACGATGTTGGACTGACGGGGCTCTCCTTCCATTCTTGGGGTTGCCCACGGAGTCCCGCGGGCTTCCCCGATCCCTGCCCAGGTGGGGAATTTGAGCTTTTGGTGGCACGTCGAAGGCAGTGCCATAAATTTGGCGAGAAATAGGCGTCCCAGGATGCCGTTGTGGACGGAGTTGCAGTCGATGATGGTAAACTCGACTTGCTTGGAGACCCGCGGCTCCTGGTCCCCGATTACGACGGGGAGGGTGACCACGCCGATTACTGCGACCCTCGTTCCTGGGAACCCGACCAAGTTCCCCTCCGCTCGTCTGATCAAGCGCGGATCGATGTCCATTTGGTCGAGGGTGCTCTTGAATAGTATATCTGCCGCGCTCCCTCCGTCGACCAGAAGGCGATGAATCTTACAGGTGGCTACTAGCGCGGTGATAGTCAGCGGGTCTTCTGATGGGATTCTATGGGGGAATTCCGCGTCGTCGAAACTTAAATGGCACTTTGGGCGCACTTCTGACGCCGCGCATTCCATGGCGCGTTCGCGCTTTGTCTTCTTGGTTGGGCGGCTCCCCTCAACTGTCACCACTCCAATTTCTTTTCGCACTAGGTAAGCGCCGGTTGCCTCATCATAGTCTGGTTGCGGGGGAGGCGGCGGGTTTCCGCGCGGTTCTTTCTGCGTTTCCACCCCCTGAATGAACTGTGACATGAGTCCTCTTCGGATGAGTCCCTCTATTTCGTACCTCAGCTCCCTGCAGTCCTCGGTCAAGTGACCCGTTTCCCTGTGGAACTCGCAATGCTTGTTCGGGTCGCGCATGTGTGGCGCGGCTTTGACAGGCGCGGGCCAATTGATCTTGTATCCCTTCTCGCGGAGGACATGAAACATATTTTTCACGGAATCGTTGAGCGGAGTGTAAGCGGGCAGAGTGTTCTGTGGACGTCTATCAGGGGAGCGCCTTCGCAGGACTTGTTCCGGAAGAGCGGGTTGCCGTCTGGGCCCGCTGTGTGACTGTAGTAACTGCTCTCGTGACACCGGAAGTTGTTTTCGCGCCTGCTCTTCTCTGGGCGGCTTGGAAGGTTCAAAGCGCCTGACAGAACCCGCGCCAGAGTTTCTTCCAGCGTGATAGCCTTTTCTATTTTAGCTTCGAGCTCCGTTGACAGCGTCATTGGTCTTTTTGCTATGGCGCGCTTGAGTTTCATGTTGGTCGTGGCGTCCATGAGGTGATGGGCGGCGGTTTCGGGGGTGAGGTCGCGCACCGCCATAGCTACTCTTGACCATCTGGCATAGAATGCGCGTAGGCTTTCCCCATCCTTCTGCCTGATGTCAATCAAGGCCTTGAGGTGTAGGGGTCTCCTTTTTTGTGACGCAAACTTGGTGGTGAATAGGAGTATGAACTCCTCAAAGGAGCGGATGATTCCGTTAGGGAGTCTGTTGTACCAGTCGAGGCATATGCCGGAGAAAGTTGACGGGAAGGTCCGGCATAGTGCCGCGTTGGAATTGGTTTGGAGTTGCATTCTGAGGCAAAACGTGCTGACGTGGTCCTCTGGGTCGGTCGTCCCGTTGTACGTGGGGAGAGCGGGCGGCATTCCGCTTAATTGTTCCGCCATTATGTCCGCGCTCAGCGGTTGGTGGAGGATTCTTTTTGGAGGGTGAGGGTGGTACTGTGGAGACAGGTGCTGCTCCAGGAAACTGAGGTCTGCCCTGGGGCGCGGCCCCGCTCGTGGTGTCTCGTCCGCGGGCGAGGTGACCGGAATTTGTTGTGGTGGCGGGACGTGTTCTGTTGTTTCGTCGGGCGCCAGAATCGGCGCGCGACTGGGTTGCGCGGACTCTTTGCTCATCATGAGCGCTATGACTTGGTTCATCTTTTTTTGCATGTCGGCTATGACTTCGTTTTGCTTAGCTATCTGTTGCCTCATCTCCTTGGGCGTCAGCTCGGGCTCCTCTTCTTCAATGAGTACCGCGTTGAAGTTGCTGGTTTTCGCGTGTGTCCTTTGGTTCGTCATAGCCTTGATGGGTGTCGTTTCGTTGGGTGAGTTGGGATTGTGATCCGTCGTCAGTAGGTTTTCCATCGCTTCTCTACTCGGCCCCACGGTGGACGCCAATTGTTTGAGCCTAACTGAGAGTAGGAGTGAGGCTCGTGATGGAGGGGGGGAGAAGAGCAAGCGAGGCGAGTGTCTAACTCGTTTGCGAATGAGAACTTTCAGTAGAGAGGGAGAAACAGCGAAAGAAGTTGGCTAGAGAGAGAAGTGAATGTGTATTAGTGAGAGAGTACCAAAACCGATCCCTCACCTACCGTAGTAAATGCCCCTTTTATAGTACATTACAGTAGTGGATATTTAATGCGATAAGACTACTACATGTGTCAGAAACTTAAGCCATGCTTTTAGGCCATAATCATTCCTAAGACCTGACCCAGGACATGACTCTTCCTTCGTAGGTTGCGGCTCCATCGTCTCGGTCCTCCTTCCCTACCCTAGGCTGGCCAAAACGACACTGGCTTGGGTAGGACCAAAACGGCGCTGGTTTTGGACGAGGTAGAACGACGTCGGCCTGGGCAGGATCAAACGATGAAGTAAAAACGACGTCGGCCTAGGCAGGATCAAAACGACATCGCCTGATGCTTTCCTCGTTTGCGGTCATGTCCTTGCTTACGAGAAGCTCGTTCGGCCATCTTGCTCGCGCGACTGGATCCGAGCCATATCCCCAACAATACCTATAACCCTTAATTATATTCATGGATAGTTGGAGGATTAAAAAGAGACACAAAGATTGGAAATAGCCCAGGTGGTTCATAGACCAGCACCAAGATTTGCAGGATCTATTTCTCAGGGTAGTACGGGTGATTCTCAATCTGAAGCCAGTTATACCAATGCTTATTCGTTCTGACAACCCCTTCCTCATTTCCCTAACATTTTGGTGAATGCATCATTTCTTCCTTCTCTAAGCATAATGGCAGCTTAGTTAGTATTTTGATCTTAGATATATGGCTTCAGATCACATCTCTCGCTCTTTAATTATTTTTGTTTAGCACAGAGAAGTGTATAATACTTTTGTTCATCTACCTAAAACATTCAAAATTTGAGTGACTCACATGCATTGGTATAGTAAAACTGCCATCAAGCCTCTATTTGTACAATGTATTTCTTATTCCCATGTTTTTTTATTTAATTAATAATTTCCTTGACAGCAAGCTTACAGAAGATTTTTCCTTAAAGCCATACATTTTTACTTTGATTTATTCAAAATTGAGGACCTTCTAAGTGTGAGGGTGATTGATTTAGCAACAAAAACTAGAGGCTTGTACCAAATTACCTTTCCACCATCCGAGACTCATCAACGGACCATACCTCAATCTTAAGCAACTATTACCTCCAATTTTATCCCTTACTAAGTTGACCTCTGTTATTGGCAATTAGGACATCGTAGCAGTGATAGGCTTTCTCTGTTGTTGAAACAAATTCCATTGTAAGTTCTAAAATTCAACATTGTAATGTTTGTCACTTCTCCAAATCCAAACGTTTACCTTTTCCTGATCGCACTAGTATTGCCAGTGATTTGTTCCAAATTGTTCATGTTGACATTTGGAGACCTTTGTATGTTCAATATTATGATGAATTTGCATATTTTTCTCATTGTGGTTGATAATTTGTTGTTTTTAGTATAAGTGTGAAACTAGAGACTTGTTAAAAGGTGTGTGTAAACTAACAGATAATCAATTTGATAAAAAGGTTTAAGAGATATAAAAAAAGTTATTAGGGAAGTGAGTTTCAGGTGTGTGAGTTTTTCATGGAACATGACATTGAATATCAAATGCCATAGGTTGAGACTTGAGACCCTTTGAAAAAAATTCTAAGGTGAAGAGAAAGCAGGGTGAGATAGCATACCCCTCCTTAAAAGGGTTGGAAAATGACACCCTTTATTAATTATGAGCTTTTAAGTTAATAAATTTGTGTTGCATTTAATAATCTGTCTAAATTAAAAACTCATATTGATTACTTTCCTTTTTTCAGTGCAATGACAATTGTATAAGTGTACATGTGCAATTGTAGTTATATCAGTACAATGGTAGTTCCAAAAAAAAAGAATGTACTTAATATGAGTTTTTAATTCCCAAAGATTATTAAATGCAACATGAATTTAATACAAAAAATAATAATAATTAATATTTGGTGACATTTTTCCAACCCCTTATGGGGTTAGCAAGCTAACTCGTCCCGAGAAAGCATCAACACATTCTAAATGTTAATAGATCGTTTATATTTCAATCAAATTATATAATATACTAAAGATAATGAGAAAGGAAAGTTACATTCTCACAAAGGATTTGGTTGGTAGAGAGAACAAACGAATTTTTTTTATAAAATAAAATTAATAAAGACGACATTTCAATGTATATATTTAAAAACAAACTTTTAGCTAAACCTCTTATTTGAAAATTCAACTCTTGGACACATCAGGAAAGAAGGAAGTTGGGAGGAGTGAAAAGGGGGATGTTATGGGAAACAGGGGTGCTAAGGGTGGTGAGGGGAGGCAGATGGGAGCGTCTCAGGTGGCGGAGGGACAATCCAAGACTGGTGTTAGTAAGGCTAAACCAGGGATGGACTGAAGGGAAAAAAAGCAAGAGGACAGGAAGATGCGTAGTGAAGAGCAGCGACACCAGAACTTGCCTAGAGAATGGGGGCAAGTGGGGAAGAGCGGCGGGGAACTGGGAGGTCAGAGCGAGGGGAATCCCTCAGTGGCAGATAAGGGGAAGAAGGCAGCAGTGCCGAAATGCGAGGAAAGAATTTGGTGTCCAAATTAAGGAACAAAATCGGATGAATTAGGGCTTGAAAGTTGGAGATATTATGGAGACTGAAGTGCAGATTGAAGACAAGATGAACAATATGTCTGTGGCATTCAAGATGACAACTTCGATGGAGGCCGAGATTGAGGAGAAGAAAAGGGCGGCAACAGAGGTTGAGGGATTAGAGGAGAATCCTGGTCCGGCGAAGAAGTTGTGCTCTGAGCCTGCTGAGCCAGGTGATCAGGAAACAGTGGAGGAATCCAGCCGAGAGTGGCCCCCATTTGATTAAATGAAGATGGTCGTCTGGAATGTGAGGGGAATTGGGTCATCCCTCACATTTCAATCTTTATTAGGTGTAGTTCGTTCTAATAATCTTGAGTATGTTTTTTTTATTATAAAAAACTAGGTCGCGTTGTAAAGTAGTTTCACGTTAGTTGCGTGGGTTGGGTTTTTTTAATTTTTTTTCTTGTCGATGATGTTGACTCATCAAGAGTGTTAGCGGTAGGGTGGTCCCCCGGGATGAACGTCTCGGTATTATGTAGTTCTTCTTTCTTTATTTTTGTTTCTGTCGAAAATAATGGATTTAGTATGGTGTGGTCTTTGTTTATTTGAGTTGAGGCGTCTGATTGTATGATTCAATTGGAGTTTCTGCGAAACTACTGTGTGGGATTTTATTGTCCATACATTGTAATGGGTGACTTTAATGCAATCCTCTCATGAGAAGAGAAATGGGGGGGGGGGGGGGATGCGTGGAATCCGACCCAATCTGTGGATTTTTTAGTTTGTCGATGCATTGGGTATCCATGATTTGGGATTTCGTGGTAATCCATTCATGTGGACCAATAGACGTATGGGTACTGCTTGTGTGTAGGAACTACCAGATTGGGCCTTTGGTCCTGAATCTTGTTTGGAAAAGTTTTCGGAGACCCGTGTGGATTGTGGAACATTGTACAGATTTGGGTACGGACCATAGGGCGCCTGTGGTCGCAGATAAGCCGTTTGTGCGAGAAAAGAAATCAGTCTTCTGATTTGATGCTCGTTGGGCCTCAAATCCTAAGGTTTTTCCTATGGTGGCGTAGGTGTGGGAGGAAGAAATTTTGGGCTCGTCGATGTTCCAGCTTTAGATGCGTTTAAAAAAGCTCCGACACTTGCTCTTCCAATGGAGTAAGAAGGGGGCCTCGAACGCAGCTCGCCAAATCCGATCGCTCCAGGCAGAGATAGAAGCCTTGAAAGGGGAGCATCTGGTGGATTGGGAGTGGATTGACGTGCTAGAAGCAGATTTAACAAGGAAGTGGGATGAGGAGGAGATATATTGGAGGCAAAAATCACGGGTTACGTGGCTCAAGAAAGGAGATGCGAATATGTCGTACTTTTGGCCATTAAAACTAGAGGTTGGTGTATGGAGACGGTTTCTCAGTTGCGGTGCCCGAAAACTAGAGGTTGGTGTATGGGTTGTCTACGCGGGTGTTTCTCGGAGGACACGGTAAGGGCCATTTTGGCCATTCCATTGCCACGATTGGATATGCTTGATAACTTGATTTGGTTTAATGAACCTTCGGGTAAGTATACATTCAAGTCAGGGTATCGGTTGGTGGACCAGCTAGACAGACATAGGTACAGGTGGCGACATGAGGCTGGCTTGGTGGAAGCTCGTTTGGAACATGAATGTTCAGCCAAAGTTGAAATTCTTACTCTGGTAGCTGTTGAGTAGGATTTTGCCTACGAGGGAGGTCCCTGTTATGGCCGGTGTTCAGTGTGTTGAGCGGAGGACGAATCGTTTGAACATCTGTTCATCATGTGTCCTGTGGCGCAACAGCTTTGGGAAGAGACAGGATTGCGACAAGCTGCGGTGGGGATCCCTTGTGATAATTTGGCCATCTTCCTCCGGCGGTTCTTAGCCAAAAATGGGTTGACGGAGTAGGTCGTGAATCTGGTTTGTCTCCTTTGGCGAATTTGGAAAGCCAAGAATTTGGTGGTGTTCGAGGGTGTCCAAGTTATGTGGAAAGTCTTGCTGAGACAATTCAAGATGCAGGTAGTGGAGTGGCTTGCAGGTGCTGGAGTGGTGGATAATGTAAGGCATGATTGGAATAGCAGTGTTGTGGGGTTGAGTAGTTCGCTAGGAGGGAGTCCGGATCGGGTTTTGGGTTCCTTTAATGGTTCAACTTGTGTGGGCTCGCATTCAGCTAGTGGGGTGGTTTTAGGGATAACTCTGGGGCTGTGATCCATGCCCATGGGATGGTGTTCGATGGGATTGTTTCCCCGGTGATTGCTAAGTTGTTGGCATTACGGGAAGCGGTGCAGATGTGTGCGGACTACAGATTCTCAGTTTAGTGGGTGCTTGTGGTGGGTGATGCTAAGGTCGTCATAGACAAGTTAGTGGCGGGAAGTACCGAAGATTGTCGTGGTGGGGGTGCTATATGAGGACATTCGACGGCTAGTGGCTCTGTGTCCAGATGTGCAGCTTCAGTTTGTTGGCAGGAAGATAAATAGGGTACCCCATAGTGTGGCTAAAAAGGCCCTCTCTTTGTTTCTTGTAGGGTGTAATGGCTTTGATTTTGGTGCTTGGCTCTCTGCGGAGGTTGGCTTTGAGTAACTTAATGTTTCTTGTTAATGCAATTGATCTTTTCGTTAAAAAAAAAGAATAAATATGTGCAAAATTAATTAGACCGTCCCCTACATAATTTTTTAGTGACGATGTCCAAAATGAAAGTGAAAAACTAACGTGATCTAATGATCATTTTCAGTTAGCACATACATTCCCGTAAATTTATGATCTTGATTCTAGATACTTACTTATTAAAGGAAATAGTTCTAAACTAAAATGGTCAAATTCCCCGAAATTCATTGCAAAAACCATGATCTTTTTTATCTATTAATTATGCTACCATCTCCAACCAATTCATCTTATCATAGATTTATGGAGCGGATCTTATGATAGAAACTATCAGACAACAAGATCTTCAATCACCTGCATTGATTTTCACCTATAAGTAAGCAGACTCAAAGCCTCGGATATGGCGATTAAACATACAAAGAAACAACAATGTGGATGCAAAATTGTTTTTTTGTTGCCCTCCTATTATTAACAGTAGCAACTTCTTTCATCGAGGCACATGGTAGTCAGCATTGGTGGGATCTGGGGTTTCAAAAAGCAAGGGTGGAAGTGAGGAATGAGCTAGAAGGAGGGCGGGACCTAAGAGTTCATTGCAAGTCTGGAGACGACGATCTCGGGCTCCGTGTGTTAAAGACACACAATTTTTTCAGCTGGAAATTTCGTCCAAACTTCTGGGGAACCACACAATTCTATTGCACCATGGACTGGGGAGAGGGAAGGGTTCATTTGTTTGACATCTACATCTGGAACAGGGATTACGCGCGTTGTGGCAATTGCCTATGGATCGTGAAGCAGAGTGGGCCATGTTTTTATGACATGGGAAATCGTGCTTATGATTTCTGTTATCCATGGAACCCAGGAAACCTAATGAAATTGGACTAAAATAAGAGTTGGTTTTCAAAATAAGTAATTGTACGTAGTCTCCTAAGAGGTTTTTCGAACAATAAATGATCTTATATATCATTATTTGTGATGTAGTTTTAGATTGGGTTTGTAGGATATTGGTAATTAATTAGTTCAATTTTCTATTGCATGTTGCACACATTCTGTCAGATTTGGTTTTGATTTGTTGTTATTGGTGATTATATGTTATGATAGATTCGGTTTTTGTTATTGAATTGCTAATTAGTTGGAAACTTGGCATCTAATAATTAAGGACCCTAATTTTCAATATCAGCTATTCTCGTAAATTTTTGTTTACCCTTTTGGTCATTTGGGGAGTACTTAAAAGTATTGCGCAAATGTTTTATGAGAACAGATAGGATACAAAACCCATGTCTACAAAATCTTACAAAATCAATATGTCCATTCATCCATTAATTTTGATATTAGAGCATCTAAAAGTATTGCGCAAATTTTGCAACAGCCTCTTTTAACAGCACTTGGCTCGTTGCAACTTCTGATCGAGTTGAGTGGGTCTTGGAATCACGTTTTTGCTTTGTCCCTCCCTGCATTTGTCCAAATAATTTTGCTTAGCTGCTTGCTTGTTGGGAATTTGGTTGAACCGGACTAACCAAGTTAAATCGGTTTTGGGTTGGACCGACCAACCGGTTTGGGATTAGACCGACCGAACCAATATTCTAATTCCGTGAAGGGACACATCCCTTTGGCCTAGTGGCGGTTGCATTATTTTATGGATAAGGATAACCTTATGGATAAAGGCAACCCTTCATATGGATAAGGATAACCTTTCATATGGATAAAAGCAACCTTTCGTATGGATAAAGGCAACCTTTCGTGAAACAATGCATGGATTCGGCCCCTATAAATATATGGGTGGGGTGGATGGTGCCACATACCATCAAACATATTCTTCTTCTTTCTTCCAAAAATTTCTAAGTATGCTTTAGTGTTCTTGAGCCTGGAACCTAAAGTGGTGATAGTTTTATCCTCGGGAGAAATTTCCTGTAACCCTAGGCTTGTTGAGGGTGGAAATATTCTTTTCGGAAAGTGAACGTTGTTCACGACTTTATCACAATCCTGGTCACCCGGTCTCGGGCTATCGTACGTATACCCTTGTCCATAAAAGTCCCAACAATCGAAAAGAATAGTTTTCCGGTACGATGGCTCGAACCGCTCTTTACAAGAAACCAGTTCCCGTCTATGGAATTGTGAGAATGTTCGATGATGGGGTTTTCATCGATGGCAGTAGAAGATGGGTTTTCTTCGTACTTGTCTCATGGTGTATTCCATTTCTGGAAGGTAACTTGGAAGAGGGATGATTCGAAGATGAGGAAGAAGGAGAATAATTCGTAAAATGGAGAAATAGAAGAATGAAAATTGCCATTGGGTAGGTCACATACTCAATGGTTAATTAGTCTAATTCTCTATTCAACATTTACGAAGTTCTAGATAAACTTGGATTGTCTAGTGGTTTGGTGGTGTGATTTTGTCTAGTGGTTTATGTTATTTTAAACCAAGGAGAC